AAGCGGACGCTGTTGCGGAGAATTTCAAAGCTGTAATCACCGACTTGAATTGCCACCTCATGTCAGCAATTCTAAAGACTGTTGGTGAAAATTACTCCTCAGAACAGTCCTTTGTTGGTCTGCATCCTAAACAATTGCTACAATTACCGTTGAGGTTTTTAACAATAATTTTCATGTTTTAAAAAGATCACAGAGAAAACTTGAAAGTATGGCCCGAGGACAAACTTGTACAAATAACCTTCCCTCCCCTTCCCCCGACCCCCGGATCATTTGAGAATAATATGCTTGACCTGCCACCAACCCCAAATTCCTTAGTATATATATTCCTACCAACAAGGTCCTTCTCCATGATCATAATTCAGTCGTCAAAGCCAGGGAGTCAACATCGATCCAGTAGCGCCACCGATGCTCAGGCCCATGTAAGTCCCACTGATGGTCCTAATAATGTCCTTTCCATGAAAAGTCCTGAACCAAGTCCCTGTCTCTTTGCTCTCCGTTTGTCTAGGACAGCCCTCAGCCTTTCCTTGGCGTTCAAGTCCTAGACACCTTTAAAGGAGACAGGCCAGCTGTTCCCCAGAAAGCCTCTCATTGTGCGGCTGATGTTCCCTCCTCAGATCCAGGTCCTGCGTGTTTGGCAGAAATGTCAAAGAAGTGATGTTGTGTGTACTCTTTTCATTTGAATGTTGATGCATTTTTTATGTTTTTAAATGTTATTTTATTGTTTAAGGTATTACAAATAGTAGTACATATGTTAATATGTTAATGCGTTTTTAATTGTTTATGTAGATTCAGGAAAATCATGCTTAGTATAATAATCATCATTGCAGGATTATACTGGAAATGATTTTGTGGTAGAGAGGAGGGTGTGTTACAAAAGGTCTGGCCTGGGTTTCAAATATGTTAAATATTATATAGATATTATTGTCACATGCCTGAGGTGAGGGGCAGATTGCTGGGAGTACACTGGGCTTCCCACCACAAGCAGTATAACAGCATCTTGCTGGCTTACTAATAAATAGGGACGTGATTAGCAGAGTCGGGCTGAGGCTTTTGGTACCTGGTAGTGTGGTCATTGTGGGGGTCAGCATCCTCCTCTACCTCTGACCACTGGAGGCTACAGTCACTATGAAAAGAACCCACAGGCCAAAGTGGCTCAGGCCTGGTGGCAGGGGTGTGGGATGCCAGGACAGGTTTCTGGGTGTCTGGGCCTCTTTGGAGGGTGCTTTTGTTTTTGTAACCCATGTTAACTGACTTCATAGTGATCCCCCCTGCCCCGCCCCGTGTAGTGTATCATGCCATGGTCAACGGGATCAAAATAAAGCAGTGACAACAATATGTCTTCTGTGTTTAGAATAGGTCTGCAATGCAGTGCCCTGAGAGGAGACACACATGGCCAGGAAGCACGAGAACAGATGGTCAGCACCATTCATGATAAAATACATGCAAATTGAAGCAATACATTTTTTAAATCTAAAAGACCAATAAAAATGAAATATTCTTGTAATATAGGAAGGGTCTGAGGAAACTGACATTCAGTGGACTATTGGTGGGAACACAGTCAATAAGCTGCTTTGAGGGCACAATATCTTTAAAAATGTTGATGATAGAATTGGTGTCCTGGCTAGTGTGGCTGAGGGTTAGAGCATCGAACCATACACCAGAGGGTCTCAGGTTTGATTTCCGGTCAAGGGTACGTTCCTGGGTTGCAGGTTTGATTACTGGACCTCAGGGTGCATGTGGAAGGCAACAAAACCAATTGATGTGTCTCTAACCTCTCTCTCTCTCCTCCCTCCCTCCCTTTCACTCTCTCTAAAAATCAATGGTAAAAATATCCTCAGGTGAGAATTAACAAGAACAACAAGAAATAAAAATAAATGGTAGTATTTGTAGCCTTAGGGAGTGACAACTAAACAGTATGGGATTTCTTTTTGGGGGGTGATGAAAATGTTTCAGAATAGACTGTAATGACAGTTGCAGAACTCTGCAAATACACTAAGAACCATTGAGTTGTACATTTTAAATGGGTAAATTGTATTTAGTACATGAATTATATCTTACAGGTTTTTACAAAAAATGAAAATTTAAAAATAACATGACAAAAAAATGACTTAGAGGATAAATTTAGATTTTTTTGGAGAAGAAAAACTGATCTTATTATTTAAAACTCTACACAACAGTGGTAAAAATATATGATGGCAAAATAAAACAAAAATGAAAACCTTATGCTGTTTCACACACACACACACACACACACACACACACACACACGGATATAGGTGGAATCTAATGGAACCTAAGATGGAATAAAACAGATAAAAAGATTATAAAATGAATAAAAATAAATCAGTTATATTGTAAAAAATAACATGAAGGTTTTAACACAAGTGCTCACAAGAACATTTGCTCAAGAGTTACTACAGTGTGATTTGCCTTAGGGAACTATTGGGAAGTTAGTTAAATAAATGATAATGAATCCAATATACAGGAGTGGTCAAAAGTAGGTTTATAGTTGTAATACAAATAAATAATAATACAAGAATAAACTCTGTGCTTCACATACTCACAACTGTAACCCCACTTCTGCCCACCCTATACATTTAGAACAAAGCCTATACATAATGGGCTATAGGCAACCAGTAAAAAAAATAAGGTGAAAATTTTTTTGTGATATAATGGAATGATTTCTGTAATACATTATTAAACAGAAAAGACAAGGTACAGAAATAGTATGCTTCCATAGTTCTGTTTGTAATGGAAATGTATTTATCTTTCTGTCTCTCCTCCCTCAGGAGCTTGTGTGCCTAACTTACAGGACTCATTGCCCAGTGGACACCTGCAAATATATATATTTAACAACATTCTATTGTTGGTTTACATGCTTTACGAGTAAAAACCATTTTTCACATTACTACCACAATGAAGGAGAGACGGGGTTTGAAAAGGTTATAGTATCTGTAGGTCAGAGATGCCCTGACTCTTCTCTATCTCCTGCGATTTTAGTTATGTCAGTGGCAGGATGATTCATGGGCCTGGCTCCCAATTTGGGGGTTGGGAGGCCATTGGTTTTCATCTTCGAGCTGCCCCTGAATGTGCTGCTCCCTTAAATAAATCAGGAGCAGTAGAGGCCAGTTTCGCTGCCTCTAAATTGCCAAAGTAATCCTTTTTTTTTTTACATATAATCCCCTTTTTTAGATATAGCCCCAATCTCCAAATTCCCAACTGCTATTATGTATGAGAGAGGTGATGTTGATCTCCACCTGATGACCCCATGCTAAGCCCCAGGCCTGCAGCAGATACTGGATAAGAAGAGCAGCTGGGGCCCAAGGGGAAGAGCTCTAATAACAGAGTCCCTCAAGAAATAAATATCCTCCTGCCTCTGGTAGATCTTCAAAGATGTATTGGTCAGGCATTTTGCAGTCAGAGATTAACGGAGGCTAATTTAATGATATTAGACAACATCTGGAGTCTTCCTTTCTTCATGTGAAAACAGTTGGTACTTTGCCATAGAGGCCAACACCCCAGTAATAAATCCCTAGAACCCAAGTTGCTGAGAAAATAATTTCTAAAATAATGAGACTGTGATTGGCCAAGAGAATATATCA